AAAAATTTTACTAAGAAAATTGATGTTTAAATGAGCACTAATGTTTAAAGTGTTATTACAATATGCGACACTTCAAGGTTTGAAACTAATAAGAGATATGTAACTTACGTCGGCGCGTACTAAATTATTGATGAAGGATACAAGTGTTCGTACATCTGCTTGTGCATCTGTTTCCGCAATTGATAATATTATACTGAAAATGAAAGAGAACATTAGCAAGTATGTATACTGAATGAATGATATGATAAGAGCAAATAATTTAACTTACATTATTGTCAAAACAATCAAATATTTTGTGATAACGAATGGCAACATAATAAGCATTCCAAAATTCCTGTAAATAAGATTAGCGTGTACAAATGGTAGTATTGCAAGAAAGGTTACGTTTTCGCTTCATTAACCGTTGAAGGAAATATCTGTAAATGTCGGAAGATGAGTCTGCTCAATTGATGATCCTGATGCCATGAATGAACTTGAAGGACTTGTTTGTTGTGATGTCACGAATGACAGCAAGTTATCGGAGTAGTTATTAAACTTCCTCAAGAGGATGACCATTGCCAACCTTGCTTTTATTGACTAGTTAAAAATTGAAATTTGCTTGTGATTTGACAGGTAATAACGGAACACTGTAATTTTTGGTAAATAGATCTATGATGTGTACAAGCTCCGTCGACTATTAGATTTTATGCATGGAGTAAAACTATTCAAAGAATTCGTTATCAAAGAGGAAAAGATAAAATAGGAAATGATGTGAGTGATACGACTTCATTATTCATTTGTAACTATCTCATTTCAGAGTTCATAAAAAATTTCAAAAATGGTTAAGGAGTATGTCAATTGAATGTCGTTGATAAGACAATAGACAATACAGTAATTATATATCCAATGCGCATCTGAAATGAAAATGAAAGGATTCGAAAATTCATTTAATTCGCACAAAAAAATGATTGCACTCTGCGACACGTATTTATGACGGATTAAATACTTTTTAATGTTTTAAACTTGGATTTTTATTTTCCGAAAGGAGTAAAAATAAAGGGGAGATGACGAACATAAAAACATTTTTTCGAAAAACCAATTCTTGTGATGAAGTTCAGTTGTTCAACATATCCCTTTAAGTATTCCCCGCTGACAACACACATGCGATACGAAGGAAGAAATAAAGAGATAGAAGAAAACGGTTCCTTAAAAGTAAATGATTTTTTTTGGAGAAAAAATGCGACAAAGTCAGAATTATGGTAAACTAGTTCTTTCGCATTCATTTCATCTGTGCTTTTTTCTTCAATTATGATTTTTGATGAAATTTGAATCGCAAAACACTATCAGCTAAATCCAAGCGTGATATCTTATCATTAGTGACCGGAAATAGAGCCAGGAGAGAAGCTCCTGGTCAGTCACATTTGGTGTAACATTCAGCAATTAAAAATCAACACATAAGTGATTGTTTTGAAAGATTGAATTGGTATATTGCGCATTTTTGCGCCATCAATCGAAATGAAATTAATGCACCAGTAAAAAGTTAAAATTAAAAACAGTTACTTTTTTGTGTTTGGTCGAGTCATTATCAAAAGAAAGTCGATGGAAGAATTAAACGAAAAACGAATTACTATCTGTCTGTAAAAGTAATATGAAGAGGTCAAATGCGTTGATAACCGGGATGATTTTGCAGGAAATAAGCGGGAAATATGCACAGACAAGTAAACGTTATTGTATGTCAACTGCGCATATTTATTTCAGCCAATTATAATTTATTACAAAATATATAAAGAAATGTTATCTACTTTTGCACAGAAACTAACCGTTATGATATTGATATTCGTACATGCGTTCGAGTGTAGACAACTGTTTACGCTGATATGAAATTCTGTTTAATATTATTTTCCCAATCCCACTTCTCTGGGATATTAAAGAGAATACCAAACACTATTTGCGAGTTTTTATAGTTGATGCTTGCTGTATTAGTATTGTAATCATTGCCAATGAAATTGCGCCTTTTAAGATTGGATTAGATTTGCCTGTCACTTGATGAATTCATCCTTTTGTGGATCTTTTAGTTCGTGAGGCAATTAGCTTTCCTAATTGTTCAGATTCTTTTGTTGTTGATGAAGTTACTGAATTTCCTTCAGTTGTTTAGAAGGTCTTGGAGCTTTTGACATGCGATTCAGGAAAAATCGGCATAGGTGATAGCCTGAATGGTTTCACATTCCGTTTACAGGCCATGCATTGATTAAAACTCTTTTAACTTCTCTTCCTTCTTTTGGGATCCAGAATCTACGCCTCAAAACCGATAAAGTATAAGTAGTTCTTGCATGGTATCATTCTTCATGTTTTTATTGGATAAGAAGCTCTGTTATAGGATGGTCCTTCGGTAAATAAGTTTACTATCACTATACAACTAAGAGGCATGTTGCGCAATAATTACAGACGACTTCTATAGCGAAAAGTGGAATGATGTGAAGTTGATTAATTATTAAAATTACAAGTTCAAAACAGACATTGCAAATATTCAATTGTTCTGAATTGAATGATTGGTGAGATTGAAATACGTTTTAAAAAAGGATCAGAATACGATCCAGCGAACAGAAAAGATTCAAAAGAAAAAAGAAAAACGAAAACGACTAAAACACCTGAAAATAAGTTGCAATGAATATAGGTGGTCTAAAACTGCATTCAAATCACTGCTGTTTTAGTTTATTAGTTTGTTAGAAATTTCAAAACCAATATTCCCATATTTCTTTTCTGCAAATTAATAGTTAAAGAATGAAGTAGGGATTGTTCGTGAACCTATTTCTAAGGAAAAGCGATTGATTTTTGCTTTTCGAAAAAAGATAACGAAAAAAATGGTGGCTAATACTACATAGTAAAAAGAGAAAAATGAGCACAAAATTATTGAAACAGTCACAAAATCATACCACTAAATTTGAGTTTAAATATCAAAAATGTGATTGAAACGACTGAAATTCGTAATTTAAAAACAACTGAGCTGTAACAATAATGCCAGAGTAACAACAAAGTAGTTTAAAAACACATGCAACATGGAAAAATCACATGCAAATACACACACATACACAGAGAGAGAAAAGCCAACATACACGCGAAATGTACACATATCTAAGATGTGCCTTGCTTTCAGTGGAAAAATTAATTTCAGTTGAAAAAAAAAGCGGCGAAATAGATTTGAAGTACATTTGAATTTGAATTTGGAATTGCAATAGAGATCGAAGTTGAAATTGAAATTGAGAAATTTAAAGTACAATTAGAGAAAGAGGTTTATCGAAGCAAGCTGACAAATATGACACTTTGGCAACCTCTTTAAATGCTTGGAATAACATCGCGATGATACACAGCACATCTGTATAATTTTGTTATTTGCTCTTTTTCCTGATCAGAAATCATGCGAAGTGTTAACTAAACCACGACTATACAAGATATATATATATATATATTGAAAGGAACCATGACAGGAACCAGAGTCGGCATCATTTATAACTTGATTCCATGTGTTGTCGTTTCCCATAAGCATTGCAGAAATAATTTGATTTTTATCATGATAGGAACCAGAAATCCTAGTGCGTCATATTGAAAGACTAAGAATTGTAAGATTGTCCTCTTTGTTGTTTCCTTTTCGGACCATGGTCGTAGAATTACTTAATAGTGTCCCGATTATTCATCCATTTAATACTAAAGGATTTTCTTTGGTCTAATTATGCTCTATCGTGGTTGGGTATCACTGTGTTAAATTCTTCGTCACTGAACAGAAATCCTCGAATATTCATCGAAGCTTCGTTGAATATGGAGTTCACTTTCACATACTTTTGTAAGGCTTCTGATGATTTCTCCGTAGAT